GCCGCAACCTCAAGGAATAGTAGAGCAGTATATTGCGCGGACCTTTATGAAACAACTACTTCCGTAGCTTTTGCCTTTCCCCTATAATACAGCAACCCAAAAACAACGAATGCCACCAATTCATAATGCATACCCAGCCATTTTTGTAAATCATGCTCCGTGGTTCTCATTTCAGCACTCCCTTCCGAAGCGTACATCGAATTCTTTCAAAACACTCATTATACTCGCCGCCTCGACCTCTATAGCTTGTCTCCCCGGAGTGACCCGGCCCCCGTGCTGTGTAGTCTTCAACTTTGGCAGCCACGAGGAGATGTCGTCTGCGGCCTTGGAGAAGTTCCTGTGGCTGGACAGGGTCTGGTACGCTTCGGCGCAGCTGAGTCCCAGGCTGGGCAGGCTGGGGAGGGTGATTTTCTCAGGGGCCGGCTGGGTCTTTGACTTGCAGCATCCGCCGCCAGCGCCTTTCCCGCCACAACAGCCGCCGCCGGAGCCCTGTTCACGGCTATACTTGGCATTCATCAGGCGGCAGAACAGGCCGGATTTGGGGTCTGCCTGGCATTGAGCGCATGTGCCGGGTCCGTTGGCGCCACAGCCGCCCTTGGACGAGGGCGATGCTTTGTGGACGGGTTTCTTGCCTTGGATTCTGCGGGGGAGCTTGACGGCTCCATCTGCCGTCATTTCCATGGCTAGAGGGGGCGGGAGGATATCGGGCTCGGAAGGAGGAGGGGTTTGGGTTTGGTGGGAAATAGGCTGTGTTGATTCGGTGGGAGTCATGGCCGGGGTAGCCATGCCAACTGTATCCTCGGCGCAGACGCAGTACGTGCCGTCTTTGCAGAATCCGCAGCTCTCCTTGAATGCCATGGACTCTTCGGAGGACATCTGGGTCACGGATGGGGGCTGGTCATATGGTGATTGGGGTGTGGCGTCGGCAGCAGGCTTTCTTGAGAACATGGCAGTGAAGTCCGTCTCTGTGAGGGCGTGGGTGTCCACGTCCGGACGGTGTCGCTTGTTGTCGGACGAGCCAGCAGACGGCGATAGAGGCCTTTTCATGTCTTGCCCTGCGCTGACATTGTTCGCCATGTCATCCAAGCATTGACAAGCAGTGCCAAATCCACACTTGCCGCAGCCTGCAGACGTGGAAGCGAGCACCTCTTCAGCACATGCACAGCGGCTGTTGGGTGAGCAGTTGCCGCAAGTGATGGCTGCGTCGGCCTCGGGGTTGTTGGAACTGATGTCCAAGCTTTCGGGGGGAGTGATGATGTTGGAAATGGAAAAGTTTCTCCCCTGCGAGAGGTGCTCGTTGCGTCCGCCAGACAGGCTGTGACGGCTGTGATGATGTACAGGGCTGTGAGGCTGACTGTGCGAGTGGCGAGGACCGCTTATACTTTGCGATCGAAAAAAGTCGTCACCATGCCTTCTCTTGAGCGCCTCTGCCTGGGTCTCTGCGCGAATACGCTCCTGTCGCTCACGGTCGAGCATATTCTCCAAGAGCATACATCTAGATCGGAACGATTGGAGATCCAACTCTAGATTGCGAATCTTTTCCTTTAGCTTGGCCTCCTCCTGCTGATGAGCGTCTTTTTGTTCGTCCAGCTGCACTTCCAGTTCCCCTACACGGGCAGCTCGTCGTTCACGGAAAGCGCGCTGAGCAGCACGGTTCTGGGCCTTGCGCTTTGTTGGAGGAGTGTCTGTCGCTGGTTTACGGCCAGGCTTGGGACGCGGCGGGATGACCCATTCCTTGGATGTCATGGAGATCTTGGGAGTCTCCGCTGTGGGAGAAGGGCTGATGACGGCCGCCATGGCCATTTTATCGACGAGCGGTGCAGATAGACGAGGCAGAGGGACTGGACCGCCGGTTGTCTTTGCTGAGGTGTTGGCCTTTGGCTGTTTCGTCGGAAGCGGTGCTCGAGAGGGCGGGCCAGGCGGACCGGACGCAGGAGCGAGAGACCCGGCGGTGCCTGCAGAGGAGCCGGCAGCTGGTCTCTGAGAGGCCTTGGACGAAGGCCGAGATGCTATTTGCCTCTGGTTGCTGACCTCTGCGACGGCTCCGGGATTACTATGGGATGGAGGTGAGGGAGCAAGAGGAGCGGGAGTGGACGGCACGGGCATGGTGACGGAACCGAGCGGGTGGGGATTTTGTTGCGGTGCTTGCGGCGGTTAGTTGCTTCTGGGTTGTGATTGGCTGGTTTGCGAGCCAATACCTCGGAGTTCCGAATCGGGCGGGTGGTCTGATTTTGCGTAGGATCAGATAAGAAATCCGGTACTCGGGTCTGATGCAGCCCATCAAAATGCAGGCTTTTTTTCCCCAGTGTTGAATGATTGAAAAAAAAAAAGTACTCAATGCTGGGCTAATGCGGGCGAAAGTTCAGAGATGATAAAAGTATTGGTTTGAAAGATGCAATGCCACTGGGTTTTCCTCGATCCTTCTGAGCAGGTTTGCGCTCGATATATCAGCGCTGCGACACCCAGAGTCTCAGGGCACACCAGTGCACCAAACCAACGCAGGTAGTCAACAAGGGGAATGGGAAAAGTCAACAAATAAGATGCGGGCAATTGCCAGCGCTTGAATCCCGATTCGTCTTTCGGCAGTTCACACGGGCTTGTTGAATCTCAAGTGACGGGAGAGGGAAACCATCAAACAAAGCGGTGGGTTGAGGAGGATCAAAGTGTGTGAAGAGAAAGCAGAAGGACTGGAAAACCCTCGACGGCTCGTGCGCTCGCGAAAATGAGCAGCCGCGGGTCTATTTGAACGAAGAAGAAGGCGGTGTTGGGGTGAGCGAGCAACCCAGTTCCACGAGACGAGGGTGGGCCATTGATCGATTGATAAGATTTGATTGATAAAATTTCACAGCGTCGCCCATCTTCTGCGCGCTAATAAAAAAGCCCTCGTCCTCCCCCCCTCTTGATCCTCTTGGTCTGTGTTGGTCTCCACAGGTGATGCTCACTTGTTTGGTTGGGGTCCTTGCCTAGCATGTGCCGAACGAATTCCCATTGAATTGCCTAGGGGGCTTTTGGTGCAGCTTTATACGGTGGGTAAGGTGCCTTTCTTTGCGAGGTGAACATGGCAACCCCGTACTCTTCGTGCTCAGCCTTCGCTCGCTTCTACTCCGTACTCCATATTGCGTGGTTCAAAGCATGCGCCGCGGCCAATCCGATGTGGTTGAAAAAAATTGCCGGGCGTACTACGAATAAATTTGTCTGAAATGCCTGACGGGCATCACGGGGTGTTCATGGGGACGGAACTTACCACAATCGTATTCGGTCCCTGCGACGAATGACCAGCATCTGAAATCTAGTCGGCTGTTTTCTTCCAACATAGCCTGGCCGAGTCTCAGATGATCCGCGTGCCCACTAATTCACCCAATTCTCTCGCCACTATGGAGAGTAGTACATCCTGTGGATAGGTTGAATTATTCGTGAATTTGGTTCACCTCGGAGAAACTGATTTCTTTGGCCCACAGGGAATGAATGGGCTGCGGGAGCGAGGCGGCCAACGGGCGGGCGGCTAAAAAACCCTTCCCAACGAAAATCCTGCCTTTATCCAGAAGAAACCACCGGCCACTGGCCGACCCTCTGAATAGAAACATTGTCGTGTGTCCGTCATATGGACCATTTCGTAGGTAATTCGCTACCAGACCAGTGGATCTCGTGGATGTTTTCTCCCAGGTGCCTGGTGGACTCTCCGGCTCTGCTCTCCATGGTTGGGTTAAGCTCCTCCCATGCAAATAGTGGGGTTATGCAGCAATGCGACGGGCTCACCACACCCTCCAGAGTCTGGTGTTGGTAAAGTGGGCTTTTGTTGCTGGTCTCGAGTCACCAGACAGCTTCCGCGAATCTCTAGAGACGACTCTGTCAGCTGCAACATTGCGCGTTTTCTCACCAGGGATGTAGCATGGCGCTTTGTCTGTCTGAAAACTAAAATACCCAAAACCAAGACTCAGCATGGCCAGCCTCGCAGTTCCTTCCCACCAGCGCCCCACCTCATCCACGTCAACATCATACAACCTCCCTTCCGACTCCTCAGATGTCGACCCGGACAATGACGCTCCTCTCCCCTTCCCAGCGGCCCTGCCACGATCCGACTTTCTCGTCCCGGACTTTGACCCGGCCGCATATCTCTCTGCCCTCCCTCACCGCCACCAGACCCTCGAAGATTTACGCTCCGACCTTCGCGATCGCAGTTCAACCATCAGCTCGGAACTTGTTGAGCTCGTAAACTCCAACTACACTGCCTTTTTGTCATTGGGTTCCGAACTCAAAGGTGGCGATGAGAAGGTCCAAGATGTCAAAGTGGCGCTGTTGGGATTCCGACGAGCCGTTGAGGAGGTCAAGGTCAAGGTGGCCAAGAGGAGAGACGAGACGAGAGAATTGAACGACGAGCTGCGTCATGTACGCCTAGATATCGAGCAGGGGAGAAAAATGCTTGAAATTGATGATAGATTGTCTGCTCTTGAGGAGAGATTATCCGTCGACAGCTTACCTGCTGGCGCGGGACAAAAGGAGTGGGATTGGGATAGCAGTGACGAAGAGGAAGATGATGGTGCTTTGGCAGGGCTGCTGGGGAGCTCGCCCGCTAAACTATTGCCATCGGCAAAGGAGTGTGGCGAGATTATTCTGTTGAAAGAGCCCCTCGATCAGCAACATCCGTTTGTCCTGAAACTGGGGGAACGGCTGGACAGATGCCGGAATACTCTGCTGTTGGACCTGGGCAATGCGCTGAAAGAAGCGAAAGGAGCTGGCGTCCAGGGACAGGATCGAGTACTCAAATATCTGGCCATATACCGCATGCTGGATGCCCAAAGAGAGGCCATCAGGGCGCTTAGAGGCGGTTAGTGCGACTAGCACAAACATAAAACTGAAGAACATGGACATAGAATACACTATACATCATCATAATGCTGGGCCACATGTTTACCCTCTAGAAAACCATACGACGCGTTTGATTTCTAATGCGACGACCCGACTATTGTACAATATACACACGTTCCCCTACTCCAATGAGTTTACATGACGCCCGCCAAAGCCTCAGGCTGCGTCTCTCCCTCAACATCATTAAATTTTCCATTGAGGCTTAGAGAAGGCCCATTGGTAGTGCTTAGAATCACCTCATGTACCTCCTTGGATACCTCTTCCGAGATTTCAGCACACTCGGACTTGACCTTCTTCAACAGAGCCTGGATATTGACCTTTAGCTGATCGGGGGTGTATCCCAACTGGCCAATGGCCATGCGAATAACGCCCTGCCGTTCTCTGTAGTCGGCTGCGCCAGCAGAATCGCGAATCGACTTGGTCACGTCGCTGACAATTGTCTTCATTCTTTTGCTGGGCATGAGTCCCTTGGGACCCAAGATCTTCCCCAAACCAGCCTTATTTAGGGCCTTTTCACTAGCCTCGTGGCAAATGAGGCGGTCAAAGTCGATCTTCTCTTTGCGAATAGCTTCAAAAAGGGTCTCTTCTCCAACGGCGACGGCACCAGCGGCTGTCGCCGCGGTGGCAATGTCGCTTCCTTCGGGACAAATGACGGCAATCTGCCAGTCGCTTTGGACGGGGTGCGGAAGGCGGATGCTATTTTTGACAACGGGCCCGTTTCGTGCGGTTTTGAGGTTAATATGGACTTCATATTTGATGGATGCAGGGGGCTGGCCGACTTCGACAGCACGGAGCACACTGGGAGATCCATTAGTACATGCACGTAGCGTAATTTTTACTCGGAAAACGATTTCGGCATACCGCATGGCCTCACATAGTGTAAACTGGGGAAATTGTCGCTTTTCGAGGTTGTGTCGTTTGAAGTCCTTGGGGATGGCACGCTTCTTCTTGACTTTCTTGATTCTGACGACAGAAGCCTGACGGGTCTGAACGAATGCGGGTGCAAGAAATTTTGGTATTGACGTCGTAGATGGCCGTGTCACCTGCGCGATGCTTAGCCTGGCCATTGAGGCCAAGCATCTGTCGATTGCCGTCATCGTTGCCGTGCTTGATGAAGCTCCCAGGAATGTTAATAGGAGCTTGCATTATGCGCAAAAAGGCCGAACAGGGCGCTGGCAGTTCCATGCCTGGTAAGTTAGGCCTGAAAATTCTTGTCGCGTCGGTGCTTATCGATAATGCGATCAGAGCCAGCCAGATTTGACCAGCGTGTTTGGCGCCTAGTTGGGCCCCTCAAAGGCCCCCCTCCATGAGATGCTGCCCTCGACCCCACCACCGAAAACGACTTGACTCACGGAAATATAGTGTCAACAGTCGTCTGATCCAGCCTTTTGTTTTTTGCATCGCCACTTTGGACACTGAACATTGAAAATGAAGCACGAGGAGCTCGACAATCTTGCGAGCAATCTCTCCGGAGATTTCCGCACCATTGAGCCCCGTTTGCGGGACCTTGATAAGCACCTGACTCTCAGAACCTACCTGGAGGGGTACACCTTGGGAGATCTTGAGAAGAAGATTTGGCAGACTCTACGAGGAAACAAGGTCGCCATTGGGTTCATCCGACGAAATGGACTCCCTAACCTGACTAGATGGTTCACTTTCCTTGAGCAGACTCATCCTGAGCTTCAAGAGGACGCCACTAAGGGCAAGACCATTGCAAACAAGGGTGGTGCCAACTACAACCTGGCACTTCAGGATGCCGACAAGGGCGTTGTGACTCGATTCCTTCCCGAGCCTTCGTATGTTGATATTAACTTTAACCCGTACGTGGAAACTATGCTAATACATTTACAGTGGCTATTTACACATTGGACACGCCAAAGCAGCTCTTCTCAGCGACTACTTCGGTCATGTTGCCTACAAGGGCCAAATGCGTCTCCGACTCGACGACACTAATCCTGCCAAAGAGAGCGAGGAGTTTCAGGATGCAATTGTCGAGGACCTTGCTCTCATGGGAATCAAGCCCGATGCTCTGACATACACCTCCGATTACTTCGAGTACTTATATGAGACGTGCAAGAAACTCATCTCCATGGGCAAAGCCTATGCAGATGATACTGACCAAGACACCATGAGAGCCCAGCGAATGGATGGTATCCCTTCCAAGCGCCGCGATAGATCCATCGAGGAGAACCTGCGCATCTTTGAGGAGATGAAGAAGGCCTCTGAGGAGGGTCTGGCTCACTGCATTCGTGCCAAGATCTCCGCTGATGACCCCAACAAGGCCATGCGTGACCCCGTCATCTACCGATGCAACATCGAGAACGCTCACCACCGAACCGGCCGCAAGTGGAACATCTATCCCATGTATGATCTTGCATGCCCCGTTGTCGATAGTTATGAGGGCGTTACCCACGCTTTGCGATCCACTGAGTACACTGATCGCAACCCCCAGTATCAGTGGTTCCTGGATACCCTAGGCCTTCGACAGGTTCACATGTGGGACTTTTCGAGAATGAATTTTGTCAAGACGTTCCTGTCTAAGCGTAAGCTTGCTAAACTTGTTGACTCTGGCAGGGTCTGGGGCTGGGACGATCCCAGAATGCCCACTATCAGAGGTGTTCGTCGTCGTGGTATGACTCTTACTGCTTTGCGAGACTTCATCATCCGCCAAGGACCCAGCCGTAACGTCGTCACCATGGACTGGACCAGCTTCTGGGCTGCCAACAAGAAGGAAATAGACCCTGTTGTTGCTCGCCACACCGCCCTTCTCCAGGCCAACGCCGTCAAGGTAAAGCTCACTGGTGCCGAGGTTCCTTCAGGCGTCGTCACCGAACAGCGACCCAAGCACCCCAAGAACCCCGACGTGGGCATGAAAGATGTAGTGTACTCCCCTGAGATATATATTGACCAGGAAGACGCCAAGAGCTTCAAGCTAAACGAGGAGATCACTCTGATGGGCTGGGGCAACGCTTTTGTCCGCGAGATCCCTTCCGAGGACCCCATTAAGACCATGACCATGGAGCTCAACCTCAAGGGCGACTTCAAGTCTACTGACAAGAAGATTACTTGGCTTTCTGCTGAGGGTCTTGAGCCCGTGCCAGCCGAGCTGTGGGACTTTGACTACCTCATCACCAAGGACAAGCTCGAGGAGGACGACAATGTTGAGGATTTCCTGAACCCCGACACCTTCAGCCTTGTAGACGCCATCTGTGACGGCGGCGTTGGCAAGCTCAAGAAGGACGATATTATTCAGCTTGAGCGACGTGGCTTCTACAGAGTCGACAAGGGCCTGAATGACTGGGCCCCCGGCGAGGCTGGCCTGAAGGGCAAGAGGGTTGTGTTGTTCTACATTCCTACGGGTAAGACGGGGGGCAAGTAACGTTGGATGGCATCAAAATAAAAGTATATAGCGAAATCTGAATCAAAGCATACTGTCCATGTCAAGCCAAGAACTACCGTCGCCCACACCTCAATGACATAGATTCTCATCATTACGCATTTGATGGGTATAGTAGGTGAAGTTGGCTCCCAGCAGGGATCGATGGCGGGCCGTCCTCGGAAGGCGGCCGTGCGGTCGGGCGTTTCTTGGACGCGCGCAAAGAGGCCCGGGCCGACTTTTTGGAGTAGCATGCGACGCTTGTAGGTGACGACGTCGTCGTGGGGAGAGGGGTCGTGGTGCTTGTTGAGGTAGAGGACGTATTGGTGGCGGAAAGGGGCAGTTAATGCTGCGAGTAGAGCTTGGCCGAAGGGAAGACGACGCCTGGGTTTGTGAGCGAGAATTGGGTATTGACACGGCTGCCGAGGTGGATGTCGCGGGTGTGTGTCTTGTCACTGATTTGGCCGTGGTCCTGGATGAAGCTGGACGGCGCGGGAGCGAGAGCGTGGTTGTCGCCGGGCCCGTCCAGGCAAAAATGGAAAGGTCGTTGTATTTCCGCGTGACTCCCCCCCGCAGGCGGTAGAATGCTCTCTGGCTCTCCCCGTACGGCATCGGCATGTTGATGTCGAGAATTCCCAGCAGGCTATACGACATATCCTCCACCCTTGTCGTGCGGCGCCTTGCCATCGACGATACCCTCGTTGCTAGACTCGCTACAGGAAAGTCGTAGGTGTCGCTTTCGGTAGACGACACGAGCACCGTCTCCAAAACGCCAGTGAATCGAGCAATCAAGAGGCTGAGAATGTCCCTCTCCCCTATTCCTCTCCACATGGCGTCGTAAAACCGCAGGCACTGCGGCGCCAGCAATTCCCGCAGACACCATCCACGCGTAAACCAGCAACACGCACGAAACGCAGCGTCTACCCGGTCCATGTACCCGGACGGCGCGTCATCAGACCTTGGACTGACTTCGACGTCGCTCAATCTTATCCTTGATGTTATTAAAGTGCCACACACCCTTCTCTCTGTCCTGTTGTAATCGAGCTAGATCCTTCTCGCTTACCGGCACACCCTCTATCCTCTTGACGACTTTGCCCTCCAGAAACATGATGAGTCCGCCAGCCCCGGCAACAACACAACCCAGAGCTATGAGGAGTCCCGTGGCCCAGCCCGGCCTATTATACCGATTCATACCCCACATAAGACCGGCAAGGGCACACTGCAAGAATGTGTTGGACACCATGAGCCAGATGACAAGGTCTAGCTTCCATAAAACCGTGGGCCGAGCTCGTACTCCTGTGAGAGGAACCTCGGGGACTTTGATCTCCGGAAAGGGGATCGCGTAACGTGGAGCTGATTGGAATTCGTCTTGGCCAACATTACGCGGGCCGAGGTGTAACGGCAGTTCGTTCGAGCCGCGCAGCCGGAACCACCCTCGATGAATGCCCGCTAGCCGGCGAAGCGCAATCATCTTCTTGTAGAACCTATATTGTAGAAGAAAATGAAGGTCTCTGAACCGCCACGGAGCGAGCCCGAATCCAGTCACGCAGAAGAGGGCATTGAGAATCTGAGAGTCAATTTCAATCCATATTCTTCTTGGAGAGTTGATGTCGTTGCAGGTAGGATGGCACATTGCGGGCGCTAAGAATGCAATATTTAGGTTTTGTTTATTTTGTCTTTTATGCATGTATAATGTCTCTTGACACGAAAAAGGGGGGTTAGTTGGTGTTGGTTGACGTACCAGCGTTGCAAAGAAGGAGGAACAGCATCCCGCCCCATGCCACCACATTCAGGCCGTACACGGTGACGAAAAAGCCCATGGGAGTGAGAAGATAACGCCAAAATGCAAGAGCGCTGAGTTTCACCGATTCGCCGAAGGAGTGTTTCGGCGGGAAGTGGTAGCCGTTTGCAAAAGCTGCGGCGGACGCGGGCTCGGACACAGACTCGCGCAGCGGGCTGGGTTTCGTTTGCGTGCCGGTGCGGCCATCGTATCTGGCCTCGGCGCCGGTTTCTTCGGAAACAGCCTGGCATGGAGTTGACGTGAATGCTGTGCTGCAAAGAGCAGCAGGGGGGGCTTCAGTCGATGACGAGCCGATCGAGTCGGAAATGGGTCGGGGAACAGGCTGGCGTGAGAGGATCGACGAAGCTATTCCGCCCGTGGCGGCAAAGAAGCCTCCAGGGAGTTCGGATTGTTCAAAACTTGTCGACACGCGACGGAGGCGTTCACCAATGGAAGAGGAACTTATGGAAGACGATGCGGGACGATTCTCCACGGCCCGGTTGGAGTCTTGGACGGTGGACGGCCGTGAGAGTTGTTCTGTCTGAGCATCTTGATCCAGACGAGGAAAGGGTTCCATCTCCGAAGTGATATTTATCTTCTCTTCAAGGTTGGATGAGCTGGTCTATGTGCTTGAAGTTGATGACGAGGGATGTGGCAGCGTCCACTCCAGAGGAAGAAGGCCACCAGCAAAGGCTACTAGACTCAAGGATTATCCGTGAGTCTATGGATGGTACTAGTTTTCTGAATAGATGAGATTCATGTGAGCGATGGAAATGTGGCATTGAGAGGATATGCGCATCGCGCTCAACGCTCTTTGAGATATCGGCCTTGGTAAATCTGGCGGCGCCATACCTCACAAGCACAGTGCATATGCCGGAGTATTCGGAATCGAGGCGCTCCAAAGATTGCTTCTCCTCCTCTCAACGACTTCTGGGCCTTGGATCAGTTTCATTGCGCTGTACCGTGCACATTAGTGGTATTAATCTCTGAATCTCATAGCCTCCATGTCTGATTCTAGAGCTGCCAGGTTCCTGGGACAAATCCATCCCTGCGACCATGTAGATGGGCTCTCCACGCGCATGCCATCTAAAGCGGGGCAAAAAGTATTTGGTCATGAAGCACAGCAGTTACCTGTGAACAGTTTGTCGCCCAGTATGCAGTAGGGTATGGTACTGTAATGCGCCATTATTGACGCCGGACGGCATGTTTGGGGAAAGGCAAAGCAAAGAGGCAGGCCGCAGAAGTACAATGCGGGGATTGCCTCATCCATTACGATTGGCCAACTTCCCAGGAACTACAGAGTCGCAAGTGGGCCCCATCCATTCAAAACCTAGAGAGTACTGGGGTTAGGGTTGGGTTGACGACCCAAATTACCACCTGGGAACGTTATTCCTCTATGATCTTTTGAATATATATCGCGTCAAGAGCCGAGAAAAAGCTCTCTTCTCAGCTTCGAGCTGGGTAATTTGACCCTGGGTCTCTATTGCCGCATCATTTTAATCCGTGGCGCACTACACCCGTCATTTGCTTATTCATATATCCCTACGATTCACAACTATCACGAAGCAACTAAATATGGACCCTTAGCATCTAGTAATCTAGTATCAGACTACTCCATTCGAATGCTTCAAGGACCCCAAATATTTTCGAAGACTTCTTAGAATTACCGGTACCTGATCTTTATTGCAGTCGAAACCGTTTGCTCACCGAGCGGGGGCATTTGTACAACCTTCATTTACTCCCGTTTGTAGATGAACTTTTGAACTGGCGATTGAATTCAGGCGCGATTTTTGTTTCTAAATTTCCGTAGACAGAAGACCATCTCAACAGCCACATCTATCGCCAGTCAGAGCCAGACGTCGTACAAGTACTGGTATCTTGCAGATCGCATTTCGTCTGGCAAAGCAGTTTCCCTCGGCTTCGAGTTCAAGGTTGGGCAACTCCAAACAACTTGCGATTCAAATTGCCTTGGTCGCTCTATTGGAGAAGGCGAGTGTCAAGTGTCGATAGATGCGCCGGACATGTGGTACAGGGTACTCTACGGAGTAACGTATGTCAATGCTTAAATGCATGTGGCAGGCGCCTTCCCCCAACATTGCCCAACAGTCCATGCGGTTCTTGTTGGGGGCCCAGTGGTATTGAGGCCTAACACAATCAGCACATGGTGACACTCATCTATGTCTCTGTACTTCCACATGCGCCGCTCGAGCATACAGATTCGCCAAGCAGTCTGACTCACAATGGCGGTACATCAAGTCCAAGTCTTTAAGTTGGGTATCGCGACCCAGTTTGAGCGCCTCACTGGCCGAGAGAAACAATATGCGCATCACATGGCTCGGTAAGCACTAACCCCGCAATACTGGCCAAGTGGCATGCTCAACAGCATATCTAGCGCTGCTTGGCTCGGATCGAGGATCATTCTGCGACAGGTTTCTCCGGAATCATCTTCAATTTTCGACTTCATCATCGAGCTCCATCGCACCTGTTCTGGCAACTGGCATTCGTGCATTGGAGAAGGTGTTAGCAGCGATGACCTCCAGAAGTTCCTGACCTACGCGGCTACCTTTCTCTCCAATGCTGGGAACTATTATGTGCGTCCCGATGCTGAGACCCATATTTTCACGATGTAATGCTGACTCCTACAGGGCTCCGGGGATCAAAAGTTTGTCCCTGGCATAGAGAATCATGTCCTGAAGAAGCTGGCAGATCGATCCTTGGTATTGAGAGAGTTATATGAGGAGATACACAAGTCCATCGAATCCATACCGCCTTTCAACCTAGGCTTTCCCAGCGAGACGTCTCAAAGCAGCTACTATCTGGGGAATGCCATCAGTGAATCTGACGCAGCCATTGTGTCCAAGATTCTTGAGCAGAACGCCGTATTCCCTGAGAATACTAGGCTTCGAAAGTCTGAAGATGGCACTGAATTCGATGTCCTCATTGCATCTGTTGAACGTGGACTCGTTGCCCAGTTCTCTCTCCCAAGTGGCCAAGGACATGTGAGACTTCTGAAGGGAGATCATTCGTCTGACCTCCAACTCGTTTGTGCAGAGTTGAACGAAGCCTCCAAATACGCGGCCAACGACTTGCAGAGAAATATTCTCAGTGCGTACATCGAAAGCTTCCAAACCGGTAGCCTGGACATATATCGCGCGTCTCAAAGGCTATGGGTTCAGGACAAGGCGCCTAGGGTAGAGAATATCTTCGGATTCGTTGAGCCATATCGCGATCCGCAAGGAATTCGAGGAGAATTCGAGGCTCTGGTGGCCATTGCAGATGATTCAGAGACCAGGCTCCTTGCTGAACTAGTTAACAACTCGGCAAAGTTCATCCGCCGACTGCCCTGGGCAACCCCAGAGAACGATGGCAAAGGGCCGTTCGAGAAGAGTCTATTCGATCCGCCCGACTTCTCGAGCATTCACGGTGAGTGACAATACAACTGTGGCACAGAGACCGAAAACTTAGAGTCCGTAGCTCTTGCGTACTGCTCAAGCATCATATTTCCGGGAATCAACTTACCAAATGTTAGTTCTGATGCCCGACATCGTTGGCTCTTGCTCTATGGACTAACAACCAGTTATAGTATAATGATATTCGGCAAGAAAATGGATTCAAGAATGTCATCATTTCTAATCGAATGATTGCTGAGAGCCAAGCAAAGCAGTACCCTTTTATTGAAGATTCTGAAGCTGAGAAGTTCAGGGAGCACAAGTTCCAGGCTTACTATTGGTGGATTGTGCTCCATGAGCTCCTTGGCCATGGTACAGGGCGAATGATGGTTGAAAGTACGGACGGAAAATTCAACTTTGATATCGAGAATCCACCCGTCAACCCCCTCACTGGAAGACCTATTTCAAGCTGGTACAAGCCAGGTCAAACTTGGACGGGTCAATTTGGTGAACTGGCAACTACGGTCGACGAGTGTAGGGCTGAACTAGTGGGAGCTTATTTAATGGATGATTCGGAGCTTCTTGAGATGTTTGGTTTCACTGAAACCTCCAATATTCATGCCGAAGACTGTCAGTAAAATCCTATTAGATGAGGATTAAATAGTACTAACACGGCAACTACAGTGACGTACAATTTGTACTTGCAGCTGGGCGTTGATGGTCTACGGGGACTCTCGAACTTTAACGTGCAAAGTAATGTAAGTTATACCTATGCTTTGAGAGGGAAAACTGTTTTCCTAACATCTCTACTTGTTAGAAATGGGGTCAGGCGCACAGTCGGGTGAGTAATAACCGAAATATGCGCAATCATCACAGAGGCTGCTTTTCTAATGACCATATAGGCTCACTTTGCCATACTGAAGTGCTTGCTTCTTAACGGCGGTGGTGTCATAACTATTTCGCACAATAAGCCCAAACAGCGTTTGACAGTTCAGGTGGACCGGTCCAAAATTCGTACACATGGTAAACCGGCCTTGGGAAAGATGCTCTTGCATCTGCACATGTTTCGATGCACAGCAGATGTGGAAGGCTGTCGAACATACTATGAGAAGTTGTCAAGTGTAGACGGTGAGTATATCGAGTGGCGAGAGACAGTGATTGTGAATAAACCCCCTCCGCTCGTCTTTGTCCAAGCTAATACGTTTCGTGATGGGGACACAATCACTTTGAAGGAGTACGAACCAACGGTTGAAGGCGTGATTGCAAGCTGGTGGAGCGACAGTGTGAGCAACAAATTGATTTACCATGAATACAAAGACCTCTTGTTGAAGTTCTACCCTACCTACTGCCTTGGACAAATTGCAGAATCTGAAACACTGCCTGCACCACACCCAAGAGTATACTCACCGAGCCGAAAATCAGGACACTCCAAAACGCGATCCAAGCAGTAGAGTCGCGCTTATCCCGCCATAGTTGAAGGATGGAGCGAGGCTTCTTGCTTGATGCGTAACTGTTTAGTTGTACCATTCTACTCCGAAAGTGTGAGAAGTCTCCGGACAAATCATACTCCTCCCGCTCGATAAGCTTAATTGGGCACTTGAATTTCTTCATGCCACAAATTGACGACAGGAACTTATCATGTCCCTCGTTTGGGATACCTTGGAACGGCCGCAGCTGGCGAAATAGGTTCCTCGATCGCCTGCTTTGACCAAAGAGTAGCCGATAGGAAAGCAGAATCTCCTGAAGCAGCTCCGCTATATCCCTCTCGCTCGCCCACGGCGTTGGTCCAGGACTTTTGCTCCCACAGCGATGAATGACATCAATTGCTTGCTCCTGCATGTTTCGCAGTTGAAGAGCCGAGACACAGTTTCGCTGTTGAAGAATCGAGACACAGAATGAGGGATATCGATACAGAAAGAGAGTGCCAGAAAGCCTATCCAACTCGAGATGGCAAGAAAGAGAGTCGACCCATTGAAGCCTAATACCACAGACCTTGGTCAACACGTCGGCATTAAGGTCCTTTGGGGTAATCCTTTTGGTCCTGTGAAACAGCTTCTTCTCATCTGCGTCGTCGAAGGCGCAATATTGCCGGGGTGGGAGCATCATGCCGAACCCAAGAAGAAAACTAGGCAAGTCTTGTTTTCCCGAGTGTTCAGGCTGAACGAGACAGACTCGCGCTTCGCCTCGATAGCCATCCGTCTCGTCAAAGATGTTGAATTCTCCATGCACATAGGAGAGGAGATCGGGCTTGTAGAGCATTGTCTGCCATCCTAGAATAGCAAAGATGAGCTGTCTGGTGGACTGGTAGCTATAATTATCCGTGACGGATATTGTCCCATTCTCAATAAGTGTATCTGTGATTCCATCGATGGTTACTGATTCTTGGGCTAGCATAAGGTCCCTCACTTTATGCCACAGCGGGAGGAAACCTGTGTCCCAGCTCGATTCGTCCTCGTGTTTCATGTTTGGTATACCGAGGAACAAACGTTGCGGCTGACTGAGGATTTGCTGGTAGAGCCACCATCGATACCACGGAAGACTGGTAAGGGTACCGCCGGGAATCTCTCCAACGGAATCAGTCGTTCTTCTCAAAGTTAGAAAGGACATTTCTGGATATCTTGGGTCATTTCACTTGATGGAGGAGATGGCCTTCCGATAATGGGCTGTAAAGGTTACTCGATTGCGTTGGCTCGATTGTGTTGGCTATAACGGAGGAAAGAGAGCAGCAGTAAGTGCCCATTCCAAGCCAGGTCATGTATAGATGCCTAACCATTATTGCCAAGGATATTTTAGGCTCCCTAATCATGACCTGGTGCAGGGAGCGCTTCGGTTCGGTCCGATCCTTCGCGTTTTGGGGCGTCGGCTTGTTACACACAAAAAAGGTAATTTGATGTCTGTACTGTGTGACAAAGCGGCGGTGGCTTGCTAGGGGTCTTGTTTAATGAATTACTTTATTCGACCAACGCACCATAACGTCTTATCATTCCATTCTCATTGGAGAGTGGAAGCATCTCTCATTTGGGGCGACCCTGCGACGAGTCTTCTCGCTCTTTGCTCCCCCTTCCATATTTCGCGACATTGGTACATCCAGGCATCAAGCATCAATGACGGAGCAGTGACTTTGTCTTGAGAGCGCTAGAAGTGGAATGCTAACAGTCTGATACCGCCATACTTGGCCGGATAAGAACCCCATTGTGGCACAAGGCTTTGGAGAAGTACAAAGAGGAGTTACAAGCGGCTGCAGATTACCAAGATATTCAGAAGGTCCACACCCTCGAGCAGCTGATAGCTTCATTTTCCTCCATCCAAGACTCTGCTCCGACCAACTATACCGCGGTCCTGTCCTTCAATAGTATTGCGCCGAGGCTCAAGTTGATCGATGACTTCGCGGCGGTACTAGCCCTGTGCTTCGGTGCTAACGCAGCTTAAAAGCGACGAAGAGAAAAGGGACGTTGCGGTGGCTACATATAAGGTGAAGAAATGGCTTGCCACGACAAGTTCGTTACTGTAGTCTCATACCCCTACTCTTGTTATACTTATTCTCTGACTGCTGTAGACTCTACCTTCCTCCTTGTATTCGACAATGCGGACGACCTTGCTGCTCTAAAGACAGCATGGCCGACCGCTATTCATGGCTCAGTACTTTTGACAACCCGAGATTTCATAGTGGCCACGTCTTTGGCTACCAAGTACGTGTTAGTTGATGCGCTGAGCGACGAGGATGGTAGTAAGTTGCTTCTGAAGGCATTGGACCACGACGACAGTTCGCCAGATGCCCAACAGCAACAGCAACAAGCTATTACCATCACCAAGATTTTTGGTGGACTGCCTTTAGCTCTTACGCAGATCGGCGGTTTTATTAAGCAACGAAAGATGTCTTTAAATGAGTTCTTGCCACTTTACAAACGTCATTCTTCTAAAATCAACGCACGCAAGGCTCCTGGCAGTGATTATAAGTATACTCTAAGCTCAGTATGGGATGTCTCCTTCGAGAAGTTAACCGAGAATTCCACCCGTCTTCTCAACTTACTATCATTCTTTGAACCGGATAGCATCTCCGAGGAGATATTATTGCAAGGTTCTCAGAGTATAGTTGATGAATTTTCTTTTCTGTCCGATGAAATGGAGTAAGTAGCAAAGATATTCCACCAAGGCATCTGGATTGTACTGATACCGTAGTTACAGCGTTGGTGATGCATCAGAAGAGCTCCTCCGAGCGGCTCTTATCAATCGAGCTGGTGTATCGCCGACACTTTCGATCCATCGCCTAGTGCAGTCAGCGGCTCGGACGAGACTCAACGAGACACAGACGGCCGAATATTTCGACGCTGTCGTTCATTTGCTGCGCTGGGGATTCCCAGATCACTCAAGCACAGATATCGGTCACCAGATTGCAGCTTGGGGACGATGTGAGAAATGCCTTCCTCACGTATACCACCTGGTCCAGCTCGCAAAACACGAAGGAAAGAACCCGGAAGATCGGCAACAGTACGCTAATCTCCTCCTCAGATGCAGCTGGTAAGTGTATGTAGTCTACTTGGTATATTCTTCCCTATCCTCCCACTAACGACTTCCTCTGGAGGTACCTTTACGAGAGCGAGATGTACACTATCGCTAGAGGAATGGTGGAACAGGCGATTTCGATCTTTGAAGATACGACAAGTCTGGAATACGCAAGCGCTATCGACCTCGGCGGCCTCATCGACTTGGACTTGGCTCAGCCCGCTAAAGCCTTGGAGCCCTTCACACGTGCCCTGGAGATACGCAAGGCCAACCTGGGGTCAGACGACCCCTTCATTGCCTATAGCCTAAACAATGTTGCGTTGGCATACACCGAACTGGGTGAATTAGACCTTGCCTTGTCTGCTCACCAAGAGGCGATTCGTCTGAGGCTGAAGGCGAATAGCAACAGAATCGGCAACTCCTACAGCAATATATCGAGTCTTCTTCTTCGCATGGGCCGTCCTGAGGAAGCTGAGCAGAGTCTCGCTAAATGTCCAGCCCTAAAAGACTTTAGTGATGAGACCTTTCTCAGCACCGGCAACCCTCGCTTCTCAGGCGACATGGTCTTGTTATCTCGTATTCGGCTTGCCCAGGGCCGATTGCCTGATGCCTTGAGACTGGCATCGAAGGCTTTGGAGTTTCGTCGAAAGTTGCTTGGCAACCGGCTCAAAACGTGCGATTCTCAGTACGATGTAGCGTCTATGCTATTGAAAGACGGTCACATAATCTCAGCAATGTGAGTGCTCCGCTCCCTGGTCACAGCTTGCGGATTCTGCATGTCCTGACCTTTCAGGTAACTGCTCCAAGACGTTGTCGGCATATCTGAGACATTTGTCGAGGGAGATGGCCAACGGGCTCGAGCATTGTGCACGCTTTCAAAAGTCTATGCAGTTCGAGACATGCTCGCCAAATCAACAGCTTGCAGAGAAAGGGCCGTAGCTTTGCGTTCTTTGCTGAGACCGGATCTCGAGGCTGCTCCCTTTGAGGAAGAAGAATTCTCCAAGCTGTGTCTATGGATGTTGTGGTAAATATGGTTGGTAGATGTTTGGGCTTGCTATTATCCCCTTGGAGCTTGCTGTATCCTCAACCGCCCATTGCCCTCTACTATGTGGTATTGAATGCCTGCGCATCTACAGACTGAGCCAATGGGCTGCGTCGGCGGCACCTACAAGTACCGTGGACAACACGTTACCTGCATGGTAGATTGCCAGACGCGATTACCTCTATTTGTTGAGGCATTGAAACAAGCGCTTGGCCGAAACTAGGTTTGTCTAGTGGCTGTGGTTATATGTATTGGATCGTGCCGTGATAGTAGCTGAAATGGAGAGCGTTGCAAGTCTCAATCAGACGTTATTGAGTTGGTTGTTTTACTTTATACCTTCTCTAGACAGAAGTCATCGGAACTTTGCAATGGGGGTTGAAGCTCGTAGCTTTGAATGAAAATATTAGGGTATATACGCGAGTATATAAAAGGCTATATTGTCTTGATATATTTTTAGGTGCTGAGAATATGGCTTGTTATTCCTTGCTTACCACACGAGCGAGGTCTGCGTTTACTTGCAATCATTGAAGGACTCGCGGGTGAAACGAGTTGGAGGTGGTTTATAGTATTTCATAGCATTTCTCTCTTTAGTTCTAGCTAGTATCATAAGATTCATTCTGCTTGGGCCTCGCAGGGTAGCTAGCATACATGGTGTTTGCCTGCATATTGCTGCCGTTTGATATAAGAATGACTTTAACTATTTGAGCTAACTGCTTGTTCAAGTTACAGGTATAAATACTAGCTCGAATAAAGCTGTTACTTTCCGTGACAAGTAAATCTCTAAACATATTAGTGTTTACTTAGGATCTAGTATCTACCTAGCACGTATAACAGCGCGTATAATACTCGTATATTACAAACCAGATACTAGAAACCTAAACCCACTACATTTAAGAATCTCCTGCTAGGTATCGTATATAGCTTTCACCTTGGGCATCCATGAATGACAAAAAGAGTGTAATTTTCTCTTCCTTGTTATTTCTCAGAACAAGACACAAGATCAAGACAGGATAAGAATAATGCACATCTCATCTTTCCAGCTATTAAAACTCCTAATATTTATGACTTTATGACATTCCCAACCACATCGAGCCTTATTATCAAGTAAATTGCCTGTGTCTGCTAACCTACCAGACTTCACTCAGAGCACCTCGCGCAACAAACGACGTCTTGCAAAGCATCCAGTAGACACTAGACTACAATAATATCTCCATTGGACGCGTTTCTGGAGGCATCAGGCGCCCCGCCGTTGGCAAAGTCCGCCAAGGCCGCGGCGTCGGGGGACGTGAAGGAAGTGATGGGCAGCGGGAGCGCCTTTGTGCACTCGGTCAAGTCATTGGTATTATACACGCCCAGCATGCTCATGCGAACGTACGCCGCGGCGTAGGCCTAGTATGAAATTGTCAGAATATCAAATCCATCAAGTGTGTACTACTTCTACCACGAGCTCAAAAGCAAACAGCTCTTTTCTTTCTTTCTTTGGTCTCACATACCCCGTTCCAAGGACGCTGTCCCTGTGTCCCGGTAAACGCCGTCCAGGCACCCTTGGTCCTAGAATCTTGCGATAGACTAACATCGCTTTGAAACTTGAACACCTGCTTGGGCGAATTGGCGTCGGTGGTCTCTCCGTAAAAGTTGGTGTCCCATACACCGGGGGTGCTGTCCTGGGGGTCTCCAGCGCGGGCGGTGTCTACAAAGAACTGCTGGCTGGTGGTGTGCGCGCCGACCAGGGCCACGAGCTGGTTGGCGCTGATGGTCTTGTTGGCAAAGAGAGAAATCAGCTGGTCGGCCGGGTCGGACGGCGATGGCAGGAGGCCGTCTGGCGATGGGTTGGCGTTGTCTTTGCGCCCGACGAAGCTGCGGACTCGGGGGCCGAGGGGGCAGACAACCGTGGCGACATTTGCTAAAGGACCAGTTGAGATGTTAGCAAGAAGCGCGACTACTCTCATCTCTGGACCGCCTGGGAAACCAGGTCATGGGAGGGCAATGTGCAAAACGTACCGCCCATCTGGATCAGATCGGCCATGCTGACGCCAAAGGACTTGTACGTGTCGAACCAAGCCTGCATCTGGTTGCATCCGTCTGTCAAGCCGTTGTTGATCTTGCGGTCAAAGCATTCTCTGGCTAGAACTAATGACCCGTCCGCGCCGCCGTCCTTGCCCGTGTTTAAAGACCACGTTGCTGCGTCGTGGAATCCCATGCGAATGCATTGTCTTGCAAGGTTGTTGCAACGTCCGGCATCCCCCGTCATCTTGGACTTCATCTCATCCGCAATGTGCTTCCATATGCAACACTTGTCAGCCTTGCACTCGGCTGAGTTTTGGTCCGGAACCGAAGAATACGCCGTGGTCAGGTCTTGAGGATTTTCGTTGCCTTGCAAGATATTCTTAATGAGCTTCCCTGTCTCAGACATGGTGCTCTCGTCTTGACCCTCCAAGTCACCAGGTAGTTTCTTGGTATTGTCCTCATCTTGCGCACGGGATACATGCCGGAGTTCGGACATGCCTGGAAAGGCATTGGCCATGGAGATGGCAGAGAATATTACAAGAGTGGCCTTCATATTGAAATCTGGAGAGCAGTAGTTTCTGCTAAAAGGAAGAAAAGTGCAAAGGTTTAATGAAATAGAAAGAGTCGATGAGTTCCTCACCTTCTTCGACAATTCCTGGTCTACCAGAGAAGGTTTATATAGAGCTTCATTTGGTTTCTTGGCTTCTACGAACAAAGCGACCACTGCTCAAATATCTCTTTGTAACACATCTGGTATCGAAGCAAAACAGTCTGGTTTCCGGATAGTAACATACATTTTTAGATGGTTTCAGGTAATGTACGGTGGCCAAGGCTCTCGGGGCAGCGGTAACTCTACATCTAGCAACGTCAGCTGAGCCCCTGCAGGGAAGCATTCCGTATTCAAGTATAGCTTGTGAAACGGCTAACCGCTAATGGTTCCCGCATCTATCGAGTTGGATCTACGAACTTGCGACAAATACGGAAGCACCAACTCGTCAAGAAACGTCATTGGCCAATGGCTCAAGAGTTGATTGTCAGCTGCGATGCTGTCAAGTTTCAACCGACTGAAGCTGTCAAAGAGAAGTCAACCAGAAATGCTTGCTATTAACAAGACAACAACCAAGTTGTCTGGGGCCTTTTGTACATGGCAACCAACAACTTCCCCCATCAAGAACTCGAGTTGGAGTCTCAAGTCCCCGGCCAAGGCTACTCGGCTGCAACACCTTTGGTGACAACAACTGGCCACCAAAGCTGACGACAGCACTCGTCTCGAAAGAGAAAAGCGTTATTCGTTGACAACTGACGTTACATAGTTCCCTCGTAACTACCTGTGGTGGAGCATGGCTGAGGAGTCAACGGCCCGGGAGACTGGGGAAATTGTCTGTGCGAATCTCCACGGCCGAGACGCACAGGGGCACCTTGACCTGACAGCAGCAACCGGTGAACTATCCGCTCACATCCCTGACAAGTTTCACGTATCCGGCACAGCTTCACTCTCTCGTATTTGTGCAATGACCTTTCCCCTTTGAGGCTTAACGTCTAGATATAGCGGCGGAAGTGTAGCCGTCACGGAGATCGTCCGTTGCCGGATCCGACGTCTTTTTCCAGCCGGGGAGCAAGAAGATACGCTTGGATCCCTTTTGTCCGAATGCAACGTTCGTTGGAGTCGTCAGCTCATGCATACTTGCGCAAAAGCGAGCGTATAACAAGTTGTACAGAGCAAGCATACGCGTCAGGGGCCGTGCGTGGTCTTATCTCATGTGTGGGGGCTGTTAGTTTGTAGTTCTAGTAGATAGAGTGCAATATTAGTACGTAGAGGCAATATAGGACTGCTGCTATTTCAAGAAGTGAAGCTTTGCATGAGGCCAGCACTGGAGGCATGAAGGCAAATTGCCGTCTCCACTGGACACCCAGCGGGTATATTGTGTGGCAGCGCCCTTTACACTCAAGTACCATGAATATGAACCTAAGTGCTTATAGAACGTGTCGTCCTAGGAGTTGATTTCGCTAAAGGGACCGAAGCGGCTGTGACGCATGGGGCTACAAAGGGGGCCCCTGAATAGCATGAAGCTGAAGACGCATGACGAGTTTGAATATTCCATAAAAGAAACCGCACTCGACTTTTCTCAGACGCATCGCGTAGTTTCGTACTAGGTTGAAAACCAATTAGAAACGAAGTATCACACCATCAAAATCAATAGCAATAACTATGGTCATAGGAGGCTTCGAAACAACTGGCCATCAGATGCCACCTATGAGAGTCTTGTTAGCTCAAACTGTACATTTGGAGCAAGCTGTAGGATCTTGATTACTGGCACACTTATTATTAGCGAACAGTACACGGCGGGCGTCGCCGACATAGTGATAGTCGTGAGCTTTCGATAGTCGGCCACATACACCAGCCCTCACTGGCTTACAGGTCTGCAAGGCTTCCACCGCGGTCATCACGGTACACTATTTCTCGATACTCTTCTCCAATGCAGTAACCGTAGATATCCGGGGCATCCGAATCTCGCAGTACCGCGCCTAGCTGTGGTGTAAGTGAGTGAGGGTGTGGGAACCTGAACTTGAGTGGCGTCGGCGTTGCAACAAGGCGTTTTGGTTTGCGGTCTGGACATTTGCGCATCTCCATTCATGCCGATACAGAAACATTGTTGCCCCCGCACATACTCTGTCCAAAGGATATATTGGAATACAAAGAGACCCGTCGGCGCGCTTATATCATGTTATATCGTGACGTGTATTACTAGAACATACTAATTCGGTAGGCTGAGTAGTTTACTGCCAGCAGAAAGAGACTGTGAAGCTCACGACTAGCACCTATAGAAGCCTAGGTAAGCAGGTGTCCATCCTCTCAGAGAATCACAACTAAGGACCGGCCTATTGTTGCCACTATTAGCACTTTCAAGCCCTGGCGCCGGTTCTTCCGGCAGCAGGTAGCTCTAGCTCCAAGAGGCTGGCGTTGGAGCATGGCCACTCACCATCTAAAGATTTATAAAGCTTCATTACAATCAACGTCGGATGTCGGACGTCGGACTGGTCACTGTCGAGTCTTACGTGCTTCCAAGGCGACTAATCGCCATATCCATCGCCAGCTACGGGTAAAGGCATGTGGCCCAGTAAAAAAACATCAACTCCGGACATAATCAAGAATACTGAATGAAACCTAAGCTCTCCGCCGCTCGGAAATAATGGCATTCAACCCTAACTTCGCCATGGATGCTACTGAAGGCTCAGCCGCGATGCCGAGCCGTCACCACAATGATGATGATGATCTTGACCCGCTGCAGACCACTGGCTCCCTCAGCAAACCAAGAGAAGCAGTCCAATCACAGGAGCACATTCCGGTGATTCGAGATTCAGAGCCCTCCCCAGCAGGTGGTGCATCTTTTCAGCGCAGATTCCCAGCGTTGGAGATGTGGCAAACAACCGACTTTGCAGACAAGCGGGAGCGGGCTCAATCGATCCCAAGCAGAGCTTGGATCCCGCTGATGGGTAGCCTCGTAGAAGAAGAGAAGGGCGACGCGTCGGATTCATCTGATTTCCTGGACGACTCGTCTCCAACCGAGAGCGAAGGGGAAGTAGACACCCGACGAAAGAGCGTGCGCCACAAGCCTTGCGTGCCTGACAAGAAAAGATTGTCAAGACTCATCAAGTTGAATAAACACTGCACAGGAACATGCAGGGCGCAAAGAGATGGCCGGCTGAGCATCTCGGTCCACGAAACCCAGGGGACAGGATACATGGCAAATGCCATGGGCGCCGTGACACACAGCATGCGTCCCAAGAGGAAGAGAGCCACAGTTCCGATGAAAGCTATACCAGCGCTTCCTCAGCTTCCAGAAAAGATCAACATTGTCATCATGGTGGTTGGCTCCCGCGGTGACGTCCAGCCGTTCCTGCGAATAGGCAAATACCTCAAGGAAGAGTTCCACCACCGCGTTCGCATCGCCACGCACCCGGTCTTCCGAGACATCATACAAGAGGCCGGACTGGAATTCTTCTCGGTGGGCGGCGACCCCTCGGAGCTGATGGAGTTCATGGTGAAAAATCCCGGCATGATCCCGACCTTTGAGTCGTTGAGAGCCGGTGAAATCGGAAGGCGTCGAGCGGCAATGGCCGTCATGTTTGACGGGTTTTGGCGGGCTTGTATTCATGCCACAGAGGACGAGGAGACGAGCCTAAGAGCCGATGCCATGGAGGGGAGAGACGATATCTTTATTGCAGACGCCATCATCGCCAATCCGCCCAGTTTTGCACACATCCATTGCGCCGAAGCTCTTGGGGTCCCGCTGCATTTGGTCTTCACCTTTCCCTACACGCCGACGCAAGCATTTCCGCACCCCCTGGCCATTATCAAGGGCGGCAACAAGTCTGGGAGTGACAAAGGATATACAAACTTCATGTCCTATCCCCTTGTTGAGACGATGACGTGGCAAGGCTTAGGTGACCTAATCAATGACTTCCGCGTGCAGAAGCTGTCCCTAGACGCCGTGTCTACTTTCTGGGCTCCGTACGCAATATATCGAATGCATGTTCCGTTTACATACTTGTGGTCGCCAGCCCTGATTCCAAAGCCTGAAGACTGGGGTGAGGAAATCAGCATCTCTGGGTTTGTGTTTCTCGATCTAGCATCAACGTTTAAGCCGTCCCAGGCACTGGTGGACTTCCTTAATGCAGGAGAGCCACCAATCTATATAGGATTTGGGTCTATCGTGGTGGAAAATGCAGATGCCTTCACACGGATGATATTTGATGCCGTTAAAAAGGCCGGCGTTCGGGCTCTTGTTTCAAGAGGTTGGGGTGGCTTGGGTCAAGACGACGTGCCAGACGACATCTTCATGCTGGATAATATACCGCACGACTGGTTATTCCCGAAGATCAAGGCATGTGTCCATCACGGCGGAGCAGGCACAACAGCCATAGGATTAAAGTGCGGGCTGCCAACTATGATTGTACCCTTTTTTGGAGATCAGTACTTTTGGGGCAGCATGGTAGGCAAGTCTGGTGCTGGCCCGCAGCCCATACCGTACAAGCATCTTAACGCGGATAAGCTGGCCGATGGGATTCGATATCTTCTCACCACAGAAGCCCAAGCGGCGGCCGGCAAGATTGGGGAATCCATTAGACATGACGGGGACGGTGCCATGAACACAATGGAGAGTTTCCAGAATCAGCTCCGGATGTACGGTCCTCCTAGCCTTAGCTGCTCCATAATCAAGTCGGACGTCGCCGTGTGGAAGGTGAGGGGCACGCATATTAAGCTGTGCGTGCTCGCCGCGGCAATCCTAGTAGACAGCGGTCAACTCTGCTGGAAGAAGCTACGTCTGCTGCGACACTCGGAGTGGAGCGACTTTGAAGGGCCCGGCGAGCCCGTAACGGCTGTAGCTGAATCGGTCAAAAACTCCCTGCGAGATGTGTTGAGCGGCATTGCGAGCGCGCCGTATCGTGTTGGGAAGACAGCCAAACGAAGGATACGGCACAAGCTGCGGGAAAGGGGAGATAGGAAGAACAAAGATAATAGTCGGCCATCGTCATCGAATACTCTCATCG